TTGTGGTCTTCAGTCTTATTACCTAATTGCAATACCTTAAACACAGGGGCGAGAGGTTAGGGCATGAATATTTGGGGTGGGGGTAATTATTCTGCCTGATATGGAAAACAACTAATATATAACAAACTTTTAAATTTTATAAAAATTTCTCCAAATGTTAAAAAATAAAGGAATCTAAACAACATACCAGTGCATCACTAAGCAAATAAATCATTTTATCGTGAATAAAGGTTTTTAAAATATGCATATTGATAATATATTTCTGCAGAGATAGTTCCTCAGAAAATGAGAAAAGTAGAGATTCATAACTGTCTTAGTCCATTTTGTCACTGAGTGACTGAGGTTGGTAGCTTCATAGAGAAAAGAGGTTTATTTTGGGTCACAGTTCTGAATGCTAGGTGAGGAAACCGTGTATGATAGGGAGCTCAAGTCATCATCACCGTATGTTAGTGGAAACACACCAGGAGGGGCACAAGTAGAAGAGATCATATAGTGAGAGAGGAAGGGAATATAAGACTGGACCAAGCAAAGAGATCTTGAATTTATAAGCCACTGTCATGGTAACACCCTTGGCCCCATATTTGTCTGTCAGTCTGTCTGTCTCTGTTTACTTTGTTTTATTTTGTTTGAGACAGGATTTTGCTGTGTATCAGCCCTGGTTGTCCTGGAACTCACTCTTGGATCAGGCTGGCTTCAAATTCAGAGATCTGCCTACCTCTGTCTCTCAAGAACTGTGAGTAAAAGTATGCATCACCATATCCAGCCCAAACCAGTCTCTTGAGACGTAATCTACTTCTTAGATACAGGTATTGATTCATTCTAGGGGGAGTGACCTCAAATTAGTTTCTCTAGCTCTCAGCACCATTACATTGAGATGAAGTTGTCTGTATAGAACAATTTGGGTCAAACTGGATGTAAACAATGGCAGTAGCTGTAGCCAACAGCTTAATTCTCAGAAACATCTTGTTAAGTGACAAGGGCTTGGGGCTGGGTGGATGGCTCACTGGTAAAGTGTTTGAAGCCTTGGGTTTATTAATCTCCAGGACTGCTTTGACTTCAATGATCCAGAGGACTACCCACATTTGTTTCTGAAGTCTTTGTATGAGTTCCTGAGGGCTGCTATAATAAGTTGCTAAAAAAAAAAAACTACTTGGCTTTTGTTGTGTGGCTTTCCTGAGGAGCTGTGAAAAAACAACTTCTATATACCCCAGATCTGAACTGCAAAGATAGACCCTAGAAAGACTCTAACCAGTCCAGGATGGAGGAATACATGAGTTTGTTAGGAGTACTTTCAGAAGAATGAGTGGTTGATAGGCAGCTACACCATTGAAAGGTTTGCTGCTCACTTACCAAGCTACTATTTCATATGGCTCTAGGTCTACAGAGAACTACTGCAACCTTGGCTAATGTTAAAGCAATAGAGGTGGCTACAAGCTTGGGGGCTGTAAGGCAGAAGATATTTGATTTTGGGATTGTTTGTTTTATGTTATCTGCATCCTCCTTGTCCCTATCAGAGATTCTGTTGATCTCTGAAGCGGCTTCTCCAGCTGTGAGAAGAGTTGCTTGTTATGTGCCACAGTTGGGTACATGGAACAGCTACAAATTATGGCTTGCTACAAGATGGATTTACTCTGGTTAGACTTTAAAGAATTAGTTCCACGAAGTTACCAGAGTGTTCAGATAAGAGCACCTAGGTCTTGGCATCCACAACAAAGTAAGAATCAGCAACCCATGGCCAATACTCCAATTAAAGAATTCAAGTCAAGTCAAGTCAAGTCAAGGTGTGGCCCTACACATAGTTGACCCATCATTGTCTCTGCTCCAGTCTCTCCTGCAAGGTTGTCTGACAAGTTGTCCTAGGAAACAAATTTCCCTTCTGATTGGCTTCACACTTGAGCCAATTCTTTCTAGCTGATATTCCAGGGACAACCCTGATTTCTTGGTGACCATTTTTTCAATAGTTCCAATAAACCAATGTTCAATAGGCGGTTAGGCAAGAGAAGGGCACACATATCTCTAAAGTAGCTTTGTTCCCTCCAGGATAGACACAGCCTTAAAGAGCAGACACTTCTTGGGTTAGGGAGATGACTCTCTGGGTGAGTGCTTGCTATACAAGCATGAGAACTTAGTTCAGATTTGTAGCACCCATATGCCTGTAACTCCAGCACTGGGGAGTACAGTCAGGCAGATCTCTAGAGCTCATTATCCAGTCGTATATCCAAATTTGTGAACCCAAGGTTCTGTGAGAGATCCTGTCTCAGTAACTAAACTGAAGAACAATGGAGGGTGCCATTTAATACCTTTGGGTTACACACACACACACACACACACACACACACACACACACACACACACACACGAGGGTAGAAATATATTCTTATAGTTTAGAATCCAACTTCCAAAATCAAGGTGTTGGCAGTGCTTCACTGTATCTGAAGGTTCTAGCAAATGTTTCTTTGCTTCATCCTAGATTTTGTAGTTGTCAGCAATCTTTAGCCTTCTTTGGCTTGAGGCTGCATCGCTGTACTCAGCCTCTATCATCACTTCACTTTTTTCTCTCTACCTCTCTGTATTACTCCACCTCTGACTTTCTCTACAAAGGCTGATTGGATTTAAAGCTATCCCCACCCAGTAAAGTTCATTATAGCTTCTTTATATTCACAAAGACCCTATTGCCCAATAGGAATGTCTTTTACAGGTTGGAAGGTGGCTAGGTCTTCTGAGGAGACACACTCCAACCTATAACAAGTTTTTCAGGGAACAGATGCTGAGGTTGAGATGTGCTTGCTGGGGATCTATTATGGAGTACTGTAGGGACAAGATCTGTAAGAGAGTGAGGGAAGAATGGTTAAGCTGAAGAAGTTGAACTGAGACTGTAGCTTAGGCTTATTATTAACTAGCTCTTACAACTTAAATTAACCCATTTCTATTAATCTATTTACTGTCATGAGGCTTGTGGCTTTACCAGTCCTCCAGCGTACCATGTTCCCTCTGTGACTCCTGGTGACTCATCTAACTCCATCCTTCTTCCCATCATTCTCAGTTTGACTCTCTGGCCTAACTGTATCATGTTCAGCTATTGGCCAGTAAGCTTCTTTATTAAACCAATCCCAATCCCAGATCTTCACGTTGTACAAAAGGATTGTTCCAGAGCAAGTCATGGAATGCAAGTCCTCATTGCAGAGGAGGTGAAGCAGCTCTGCTGGCTAAGAATAATCCTCACAGAGGGACACAGCTGGGAGCCTTCAGCAACCAGCACCCTGGCTAATAGAAGAGTAAATGTCTTAGTTCTGTAAGGAAGATCTGAACTGATGACCCAGCATGCACTAAACGATGCTTATGAAACACAGCTTAAAAATAAGACAAACTAAATAGTATTATATTAGTATTATACATCTATATGTCCAGACATCTAAATATATGTATATATGTAATTGTAATAAAAGTGTGTTTAGGACAGTTCTTGGGTGGTTAGCTTGCTATTTTCTATTATACTTGGCTTTTTTTTTTGTTTTTTTCGAGACAGCGTCTCTCTGTGGCTTTGGAGGCTGTCCTGGAACTCGCTCTGTAGACCAGGCTGGCCTCGAACTCACAGAGATCTGCCTGCCTCTGCCTCTCAAGTGCCGGGATTAAAGGCATGCGCCACCAACGCCCGGCCTATACTTGGCTTTTAAACCAACTTTTTTTTTGTCTGTTTGAGACAGAGTTCCACTGCCTAGCTCAAACTGTCCCCAAACTCTGGATCCTCCTGTCTCAACCTCTTAAGTATGGTGCAAACACTACTACACCCATTTATAACTAATTTGTATATTGTATATGGTCTTTTTATATGCATCAAATATATTTACCAAGAAATAAAGAGGAAAAATAAACAGGCAAAAACAGTAGAAATCAAGTTAACAAGGTTCTTTGAGAGAGAAAAAAGCTCATGAGCAAAAATAATAAATACTAATGGGGTGGTGGTGGTGCACACCTTTAGTCCTAGTACAGGGAGGCAGAGACAGGCAGCTCATTGTGAGTTTAAGGCCAGCCTGGGCTACAAAGTGAGTTCCAAGACATCCAGGGCTACACAGAGAACCTCTGCCTTAAAAACAAAACAAAATGAAACAAAACAAAAATAGCAAATGCTGACTCCATTGCAAACACAAGCATTCAGGTGAAGAAAAACACATGAAGGCATTCTTTCATATTCTTTCTTTTGTGGAACTGTCCTAATATTTGCAGGTTTTTGTCTGACAGCAAGACATTGATAAAACATCCAGTTTGCTTCCCCTTTACCTAGTTGGAGCTAGCTTAACTGTGGCTCTGAGTTTGTTTTTAAAGGTGAAAGTACCCTGGGTAAGATAGCTGGAGTGATTACTAGATCTGGTGATACAATATTGTAAAGCAGTCACTGGGGCAAGACTAATGTGTCAAGGTAAGTCAGCTACCAACAAGAAAGGGTGATAAATGGCTTGGCACACTTTTCCTTTTTTATATATACGTGTGTGTGTGTGTGTGTGTGTGTGTGTGTGTGTGTGTGTAAGCCTGTGAATTGAAAAACCAAGGGAGCTATTAAAACTGTATTTTTATTTATTGATTGCACTCACTTATTTGCCTTGGGTGTGTGTGTGTGTCCCATGGCATGTTTGTGGAGGTCAGAGGACAACCTGAGGGAGTTGATTCTTTCTTCCATGTGGGTCCCAGGTATCTAGCTCAGGTCATCAAACTTGGTGCCAAGCACCTTTCCCCTCTGAACCATCCCACTATCCTTAAAAGCTGTGTATTTCAATGCCTTGTTTCAAATGGGTTGATCTCAGTTTTATGTGAAAACTCTGTTTATAGAAGTGACCATGAAGTGAGCTCAAGTTCTGTTTGAGCAGAAAGAGTGCTGGAGTTTTAAGTCCAGAATGTCTAGTTGGAAGGGTAATCTGGCTGTGACAATTGTCACCCACTGAATGACAGGGTGGATTCAGTTGATCTAGCTGGCCAGGCTAATGTCCTCTTTTCCTTCCCTCCAGAAGCTGTGGACCTGCCAGAAGAAGACGAGTTTCTTTGATAAACTAGGTCTATTTAGTCAAAAGTGTGTGAACAGCTGCCCATCCCTGCTTGACCTTCAAAGGAGCTCTCAAGATGGTGTGTTTCTAGAGCTAGACCATGGATAGCACTGTAGGGGTCCTTGTAGAAGAAGCTCTACTAAAGAGCTGATTTCCTTGTGTGAAGAGTGAGGTTATTGTGTTTGGATGTAGTGATGCACAGGAAAACGCTTGACATGAAAATGCAATATTCTTTACTTGTGGTGACATTACTGCTTAAGTAAATAAAATAGTAACTTCTAATTAATTCTAATGCTAAAGACTCTGTTTACTTTAAATTAGTTGTTCTTCATAGAACTTTTTTTTCCCAACTCACAACTTGACAACTGGATGTAGAATGGAATCAAAGCTCAATGTGTCCATCCCCAAGATGTAGCTCAGTTGACAGAGTGCTTGCCCTAGCAGATGCAAAGTTTGCTTCCCAACACAGAGGAAAGTGCTTTCTTGGTACCCGCCTAGAATTCAAGCACCCTGGAGCTGGAGGCAGGAGACAACCAGAAGTGCAAGTGTAGAGAATTTGGAACCACCTGGGCTACATGAAACCCTGCCAAAAACAAAAAAAAGCAAGACAGTGTTTTGAATTGTGATCAAATGAAGATCAGATAGTACAGTGGATGACAGGACTGTTAACAAGAGGTAATGAAGGATCTAGCTCTTGTCTCAAAGGTTTAGCTATGATGTTATTCTTAAAAACTCCTGACCTCTGTGACATTTTCTCTAATTATGAAATTTTCTTTTGTACAACGAACTACTCCTAATTTTGCTGTGAAAACTGGGTATGAATTTGTAGGTATGTGTATCAAGTTGTAGAAAAACTGCCAATGAACTTCAATGGAAATCTGTGATCTGTGTGTATTACTACATTACAGTGCTGTTAGTTCACATTTTTTACATTAAAGACTATTCTCAGCTTTAAATTTTAAATAAATGATTCTGAAGTTCATTGTGGTTGTGTCTGATTCTCTATGACGTCTTCTCTATTTCTGTCACTGTCTGTCTTTCTCTTTCATGAAAAGTTATTACTACATAGCTTTGTCTGGGCTGGAACTCATTTATCTACATAGACAAGGCTGGTTTTGAACCCACAGAGACCCCCCTATCTCTGCCCCTAAAATGATGGGATTAAAGTCATGTGCCACTGTACCCAGCTCCTTATATATGTTTCTTTTTAACAGAAATTCTACAGCAGCAATATCTGTTTGCCAAGGCAGCTTCAGAAAGACCAATTATGAAGCATTTGCCCTGTAGGATGAAAACACCTGAGGTTTGCATTAGTTGATTGTAACAGAGCTAAGAAATTTCTCAAGGTATATTTTGGTCGTGGAGCAGACAAGACTTGTTGAATAACTGGATATGATGATAGAAGAGAACGGAAGTTGACCCCTAGGTTTTGCATCCCAGAAAAATCATGAGTAGTGGTCCAGTTAAGGAGATAGAAAGAAAAAGTAAAAAAAATAAAGATGTGTCTTTGTTACTGTTCTATTGTAATGAGGAGATATACCATGACCAAGGCAACTTATAAAAGAAAGCATTTAATTGATGCTTGCTTACAGTTTCAGAGGGCCAGTCCAATAACAACATAGCAGGGAGCCTGCAGAGACAGGCAGGCATGGCTCTGGAGAAGCAGCTGAGAACTGACATCTGATCCACATGCAAGAGGCAGAGAGAGCTAAGTTGGATTTGCATGGATTTTTGAAACCTCAAAATCCACCCTCAATGACACACCTCTTAATCCTTCCCAAACTGTCCCCTACTGGAGATAGGGGGCATTCACAAGAGATATATGAGGGCAAGTGTGAAGTTTTAGCTTTAAATATATTAAGCTTGAGTTGGTCGTATAGTTCAGTTAATACAGTGCTTGACTAGCATGTATAAAGCCCTGGGTTCAGTCCCTAGCACTGAATAAAAAAAAAAAAAAGATGTGACAAACACCCTTGGGAGTTAGAGGAGGAGTTAGAGGAGTTCAACTCTCCTCTTGTCTACATAATCTGTTCCTGACCAGCTTGAATTCTTGACATCCTGTCTCAAAACAAAAACAAATAATAAATAAATGTATTTATTAAGCTTGAGTGGAGACATTGAGTGTGCACCTGGACCTATAAGCAGAAGGCAGACAATGCCTTTGAACAGAAATTCAATTTGTGTGTGTGTGTGTGTGTGTCCATCCCCGCTCCTCCCCAGGTCCAGGAACTTTGCTGAAGTACTTCTATGCTCTACTAGACATCATGCTTTTATGTCCCTTTAAAACTTCCTTTCAGGGATAGGGCAGGTGTTTCAGTATGTAAAATACTTGCTGATCAAGCATAAGGACCTGGGCTTAGATCCTTAGCACCATGTGATAGCCAGGTGCAATAGCTGGATCTATGATCCAGCACCAGGGAGGCAGTGACAGCACTGCTTATTTAAATATGTGAGTACCAGGTCCTCTGAGAGACCCATCTCAATAAAATAAGGTGGAGATAGGAGAAGACAATCTATGTTGGGCAGGTATTGTGGCATACACCTTAAATTCCAGCACTAAGGAGGCATGCATGGGCAGGTAGATAGCTGAGCTGGAAACCAGTTTGTTTTGCTTAGTTATCGCTAGGACAACCATACCAAGTTGAGTGACTGTCTCCAGACCAAACCAAAACCAAGACCAAACCAAAATAAGAATTAAAATGATCCCCCATGTCAACCTCTGGCCTCCGTGCGTGGGTGTACACTCTTATATACAAAGGCTATATCACCTGTTACTAGACTTAGGGCTATAGCTTGTGCATCAACCAGTGAGGTTCAGCCACCTGTCCTTCATTAGTCAATTAAAGCAGTCAAATTAACAGTGAAGAACAGGAGAGACAGACAGACAGACAGAGAGAGACAGGGAGAGACAGACAGACAGACAGACAGACAGACAGACAGAGATTTATTCAATGTGTCCATATATTGGGAAGAGGTACAAAGAGAATTGACGGCCCCCACCAAGGCTGTGTTTCAGGTTCTGAAGTGCGGTTATGGTTTAAGAAGGGGGTTACTCATATCTAAGCAGTCCCAGTCAAAGTGTGGCCCAACCCACTACTGACTCCTCATTGGTTCTCCTGTAAGGCATTCTGGAAGAAGTTTGCCCAGGTTTTCTTTCAGCCCAGCATGAGACGCCTGGGAGGGGTGGACAGACCCCCTATTTTGAGTCCATTGTTTTAATAGTCTTGATAGTCAAAGCACACAAATGTCTCTTTAGAGTATCTTTAGTTCTGCCAAACCAAACACACACATACTCTCTTCACTCTATCATCCTCCCATAAAACTAGAAACAAAGTGATTCTGGTTCTTCAAGGTTCACTTAAAGACTAATCATTTCCCAGGAGTATTGCTCCACAAGCTGTGTTGTTGTAGCGTATTTCTCATTCATATTACAACTGTTAATGCTACTATGTAGTTGAGTCGTCTCGAATTCCGTATTGGGAACCCTGAGTCTAAAGCTCAATGTGGGAGCTAAGGCAGGAATTTAGAATCTGGAGCGAAAGCGTGCGGCGCAGACAGGGGGAACCGCAACCCTTCATCCGAGAAGCTCATGGAATAAACGGGTCTGAAAGCGTTTCACACCAAGGCGTAAACATAAACGCCGCTCCACGCCGACTTCTACTACAACTTCCTTTTCCGGTTCCATTCCTTCCTGAAATGAGAGCTAAACCAGGTTAGGTCTCCCCGGCCAATCAACGCGCAGTCTTTTGTAGACACGAGGGCCGCCTCTGCCAATGAGAGAGCCCTGCGCTTCGGTGGCGCGATGTGAGGCTTGTGGGCGGGGCCAAATGTTGAATGGCGTGTGAGCGATCCACTGTCTTAGTAAGGAAATGCAGCGCTGGGCTCACACGTGAGTCTTATGGGCGGGGCTATGAAACGGACACTAACCAATGGAATTCTCAGTACGCTCATAGGCAGGGGAAGTCACCAATGGCGACAAGGCTTTTGTGCAGGTCTGGGGGGGACCAAAGCTCTCAAAAAGCGGCGTCTGTCAGCAGCGTCCTCGCCGTCACGGCTGGCACCGCCTCCTCTCTCCATTCATTCGTTTTTTTTTTCCTGCACCATTCACGGTGGTAGTGAGGCCTAGTCCCCAGCCATGGAGCGCGCTCTCCCGGCGGCCGGCTTCCTGTACTGGGTGGGCGCGAGCACCGTGGCCTACCTGATCCTGCGCGCCTCGTACTCGCTCTTCAGGGCCTTCCAAGTGTGGTGCTTGGGCAACGAGACTTGGGTCAGCCCGCTGCTCGGAGAATGGGCAGGTGAGTGGACAGCCGCGGCCACGGCGTGGCCCTCTTTCCCCGGGGGACTGCTCCGCGAGCCAGCTCCGGAGCGCAGAAACTTCTGCAGATTCTGAGAGCACAGGCGGGTTCTGGGGGATCTCACCTGCAGGCTAGTCGGCACGGAGCAAACCTTAACTCCCCGGGGCTTGTCCCGTTGAAACCATTCTGAGTTGGTGGCCCGAGTCAGGCGCCTTGTTCGCTCTGCCCCTTGGCGTGTTTTTAATAAAGTTTTTTCACTTCGCTTGAAAACTGGCCCTGTGTTGTGGATGAGAAACTTAGGTGAGGATAAGAGGAAGGGGTGCGGGGACAACGAATTTCACAAGTCCTGGTTTTGGGAAACTTGACTTTCCAGCTACTTGGATTGGGTTCATTTCATGTAATTTACAAAGTCCTTTGGGGGTTGGGGGCCGTGTCAGGGGAATCCTTGCTAAACGATTCTGGAGTTCCAATGTAAGAAGCGCTGTGCTGGGAAAACGGCAAGTTCGTATCGTAATCGGCAGTACCTTTTGTAAAAGGGTTTGAGAAAAAGTGACTCCACAAAAAGTGAGCAAAACACGGAACCTTGTTCTTTTCAGTTGGCAGATTTAAAAAAAACAAGAACAAAGGTCTTACCAGAGAAGTTGAGAAAGTCGTGGTTCGGCCCCTCCCTCTTTGTTTCTTTAATTCTTTCTGGCTCTTTTAAAAACAGGTAATTAAGCATATGTGCTTCTCTGGTGTTTTGTAACTCATTGTTCCCTTTTGGGGTGTGGTTGCTTAGGGACTACTCGTAGAACACAAATCATGTTATTTTTCAGGTTTTTTGTTTTGTTCATTAAAGAACTTTTAACCAATTTAGCAGTAAAGACATGACAGTTAATCTTTTGGGACAGCGACCTAATATTACAAGAAAACATTTCTAGTAGAAACGAGTTTGTGAGATCTTTCTTTGATGTGGGGCAATTAGTGATTTTATACAACTTTTCAAAATCACTTGTTATCTTTTCATAGTCCCTGGGGGAAAGTCTTCAATATGGTTAAGATCTAGGTTATAATTTCACAATTAACTTGCTCAGATTCATTGATGTCAGTTTGGAAGAACTTGTTTGTGTTGTTGTTGTTTTTTTTTAAATAGTTAATATGACAGGAATGCCATAGGTAATCAGCTACCCAATAAGCTGTATTACTATTGGGTGGGACCATGGGTCTATACTAGTAATCTAACATAAATTTTTAAGGTAAAACCCCCTGTGTTCCTTAGCAGGTCATCCTCAGCTATCTCCAAGTAATGGTGAAAAACAGAGGAAAGTTTACTTCAGTTGGCCACATTGGGAAAGGAACAGATGAGAGGTCCACTGATCCTGTGTGTCTTCACCCAAAAACTTTAGATTAAACAGAGAGAGAACTGTGCAAAGGGCACGTGGTTTGCATAATTAAGCAGCTCTGGTCAGGGTGTGGTCTTGACCACCATTGGCTTCCTTATCTCAGTTCTGGCCCCATTAGCTGGTCTGAGAAATGTATCTGTTAATTTCTATCCTAGTTGTTATTCTGTGAAGTGACCTCTGGTTCTACTGTTCCAGGTGTAGCTCTGCCCTCATGGACAGTAGCCAACACCTGGGTTGGAGGGTTTGTTCCACCACCCTTCCTGGAATTGCAGTCTGCACATTTTCTTGAATTCAGCAGCCAAAGAATGAGAACGACAAGAGACAAAATGAAGACAGAGATGCCAGGCTTTCCTCCTGCATTAAGTTACCTTATTGGCCCAGGCCAGGAGCCGGTGCTGTTTAGTAAAAGCAGTTTCTAAGTGTCTGTTTCAGTGAGGACCGGTGACATGTTGGCACATGGGGACCCAGTGAGCAGATTATGGTGGGAAAGCAGTGTACTTTGGCTAGTGGGAGCTTGTGCAGGGAATCAGAGCTGTCCCTGGAAGTGATTTGCAAACTGAGCTCTGAAGGGCCCTTGTGAGGTAGCCTGGTGAAGAGCTGCAGAAAACAGGGAAGAGGACCTTGCAAACACTGTCTTTCTCTGGAGGAAGGAAAAGTTAAACCACTGTGGTAGAGGAATTTTGTTAGGGTTTGAGTGATACGGTTGTTGAGTGGCCCAGCACTCTCAAGGAAGCCCATGATACCGTAGTGTGAATTGAAAAGCCTGTCAGAAGGACAGCTTTGTTTTATTTTCTGTTTGTTTTCCCTACCAAAACAAGTCAGATTTGTCTTATTTCCAACTGGGAATTCCAGCAAGACTACTTCCTAAAAAGTTCTCTGTATTGTCATTAAATACAAGAGCCTAGTCACAGGAGGGTTGGAGGAAAGAACTTTAACAATGAGGTTCTCTCAAGGGCATTGCATTGTAGTATATAGCTAACAGGTTGACATTGGAGTCATCTGGGCAAGGGCAAGCTTTTTTGCTCAGTAAACTGACCTTGAACAAAGATAGCTAACCTCTAACTTCATCTTTAAATGAGATAAACTAGTTTCTAATGTAATCCTATGCATTTTCATGGATAGTAAGTAACATTTAATTTATTTTGTTCATAGAAAGCACACACATTTGACTAGTAGGGATTATTGGAATGAAGAAACAATTGTAGTTCACATAGTCAACTTCATGTTGACAATCTGAAGTTATAAAAAGATCATTAGAAAGTAATAAGCCTAGCCACAGGAGAATTCTGTACTTGGTAAAAATTTACTAGGTAGTTCTTTGTGTCTGGCTCCCTTTAGTAAGTTAAAGCTGGTATAACATAGACAAATTCAGTTATGTGCAGTTTTTTAAGTACATTTGAAAAATCTTGAAGTTATCTTTGATCTTTCTCCTAATTTAATCCCTTAGGAAATTCCCTTGATTCTAATTTCACAATACTCAGATACATTTCTACGCCTTACTAATCAGTGTGCTTTCCCAATGGTTCCCCTACAGATGACCTGTGGAAAACTTGTGTCACATTGTCATCACCAGTCTACTTCTGGCTCTTTTGTTCTATTAGATGGAAAACAAAGTATAGCTTCTTAGTGTCCCTGCTCAGGAGCCTAGGATGCTGGGATCATGGGCAGCTCCTGTGCCTTCAGTGTTGCTGTGACTCAGTACCCAGCAGCTAGTGGAGCACTGGAGCTGGAGATATATTTTCAGTGGTGTCTGGAGCTTGCAACAACTGCAGGGTTGACTTTTCCCAGCTCTTGCTTCCCCACAGCCTCAGCTCTCTTACTTTCTGCTCCTGGATGTAATCTGGGGTTCTTCAGCTGCCTTTTAACTGCTTTTGCTGCTGGGTGTGCCTAGGGTTGAGAGCCCCAGGAGTTGACTGTTTTTGTGTTATTTGCTCAAACCCTTCTACCCACGATAAAGAGTGCTCTAAGAATGCTGCTCATCCAAATCTCACCAATCTCAGGAGTGTACCAGCTGTTATGGGTAGGGGAGGTGTTCTTCCCCAACCAGATTAAGGACAGGAAGGAGATCAGGGTGGCTGTGGGTGGTCCACTAAGGGTCATTTGAAGCTTTCATAACTCAAGTAGAGACTCCTGGAGCAATAGCTATGACAATCAGGGCTTCAGGCAACTGCATATAGATGGCTGTCTGGGGATTCAGTCTCTTGAGTCTTTTTTGGTTGTCAAAGACTGGATTAGATACCCCCTAGGCTGGTAAAAGATTTAACACAGCCAGAGCTGTCATGGTGACATTTTGAGGATCCCAGAAGGAGTGACTGTTTGGTTGATAGCTCTGGGGGCAGGGTGTCCCTGAAATAGCTGAAGTAGATGTTATTGATTCCATGGACTTTAAGCATATTAACATGTCTTGCAAACCAGATGTGACTTGCTGGGTTTGCTTATCACTTAGCAACACCCTTTAGCAGTGGTCTTCAAAAGTTTAATTATTAAGGTTCTTGAAAATTTCTCAATTTTTTCTGTGGACCAGTAGACAAAATTTAACAAGTGGCCAATTTGCTTCCCTATCTTTTTTTTTTTTTTTTTTGGTTTTTACGAGACAGGGTTTCTCTGTATTGTTTTCGAGGCTGTCGGTCCAGCCCAGCCTCGAACTCACAGAGATCCGCCTGCCTCTGCCTCCCGAGTGCTGGGATTAAAGGCGTGTGCCACCACCACCCGGCTGCTTCTCTATCTTTAATCGCTAGAAAGAAGCACACTGTCTTTGTAGCATCTGAGCTGGAGATTGCCAGCTCTTACTGAATTTACCATTGCAGTCTCCCTTAATTTGTGTTGCCAAATGCCTCTTCCTTACAGAACACTTCATGCAAGTCTGTTGTTGCGTAAAACCCTGCAGCCAAATTGTTCCTTATGCTTGCACAAAGCTTAACTTCTTGATAACATCAAGTTCTTAGCATATTTTCAATTTTTCCTCAGGTCATCATCTCTTTTTGCATTATTAAAAAATGATTGGGGGTTGGAAAGATGGCTCAGCAATTAAAAGCATTGGCTGCTCTTCTAGAAGACCTAGGTTCAGTTCCTGGCACCAATATAGTGACTCAAAATCATTAGTAACTCCAGTCCCAGGACAACTGATGCCCTCTTCTGGCCTCCTTGAACACCAGGCACACACATGTTAATATATACACACACATGTGTGGGTGTTGGAAACCTAACATGTAGCTTCTGGAAGAGCAGGCAATGCTCCTAGCCATTGAGCCACCTTTCCAGCCTCTGTGCATCCTCTCTTGACTGTATCTCTGCATGGGTTACTGTGTCCCAGACTTACTTATGCATTATTCTTTGATTTTGTTTGTACAGAGACACTAGTTTCAGCAGGTGTTGAATAATGATTTTGTTGTCTGAGAGAGCCTTTTTCTCCTGTTTCACATTCATCTTCACACTTTCTACCTGTAAATTCTATCCACTCTTTTAGAGCATACATTATGATCCCCCCAGGACTGTACATACAGAAGTAACCAAACATTTCTGAGTAGTTACAATGCTTTGTGTGTGTATGTACATTTGTCACCTTAGTTGTGTGTGTACATTATGTATATGTAACATGTACACATCTGAGTAAGTGAG